ATCAGCCATCCAGGACGGTTTCATCCCAGTCAGGTCGAACACCCACCGATCCAAGGACCCCAACGCCCAACCTGGCGACGTCAGCATTGTGCGCAGGACCAGCGCGAGCGCTGAGCAAACACAAGCCTCACCCACTCCGATCAGCAGCACTGCTAACGGACGCACAAGCCCCGCTCACGACGCGAGGAACAAGCGCTTCTGTAGTGAAGACCACAGAGGAGATCCTATTCCAGTGTCTAACAGCTATGCACTTCTGGCGAACGCTGATGACTCACACTCCACTTTCGAACCGACCACCGTGCCCGAGGAGCCTCCGGGGGTCGCGATGGACACGAGTCAAGAATGACCAGCCTTCTCTTCGCAACTCTAAATGCGCGCTCCCTCTCTGTAGGGGGCAATGCGCCCCTCCCCTTCTTCTCCTCCTCCTCCGCCTCTCTCATCCATGCACTCTCCAATCCGGCCACCACCTACAACGGCCGCCCAACTCCTCCAACCGTCATCCTGCTTCAGGAAACCTGGCTCACGCCAGCGACCGAAGCAGCCGCCTCCAACCTCTTCCGCGACTACACATGCTTCTGGAGCTCCGAGCCGGAACCCAAGCACGGGGTCGGCATCCTCATCAGGAAGCCGGCACCGGGCGACACCGACCCCGCACTCTCGAGCCCAACACTACTCAGCTCCATCCCAGGGCGAGCCCTCATCATCACAGCAAACCTCAACAGCAAGCCAACCATCATCTCATCAATCTCCGCCCCGGCATCTGGCTCACAAGCTGACAAAGTGGGGTTCCTGGACCAACTCAGCGACCTCATCAAGTCAGCCACCCAGCCAAACGACGACGAGCCAACACTGCCCGCCATCATTGGCGGCGACTTCAACAACACACCAAACATTAGCCACCTGTACGTCCAACCAGAGCCAAGCCAAGAGGCTAGGAGCACCACACAGGCAAACCACGCTCTCAAGGACTTCATCAACAAGCACGCACTCGAGGATGCCTGGCTGCTCAACCACCGCGCCGATGACCCTGTCGAATACACACGATGGCCGAGCAAGAACCAGACACACCGAGCCTCCCGCATCGACCTCATGCTCCTGTCATCCAACCTCCCGCTCACGATCAAGTCGACTGCGACCAGGATTTACCAGCACTCGGACCATCGAGGCGTCTGTGTAAACCTAGTGGCGCCGTCCGCGGAAGACAGATGCACGCCACCCTTCAAGCTGAACGACACCATTCTCGAACACGCTGGCTTCTGCGGCATGGTCCTCAACGAGATAGCAGAGCTGGCGCGCCGCCCCGACCCCGAGAACCACTGGACTGCTTTCAAGGCCGACGTAGCATGGCTAGCCCAGTGCCTGTGCGGCTCCATTGCGAAAGACCGGGCGAAGGCTCTGGCCCAAGCGAGCCGCAAGCTCAAAATCATCGAAGGCAACCTCCTCGCAGCAACATCCCCCGCAGAGGCAAAACTGCTTGCAGCCGAACGAGCGGAGCAGGAAGCCCGTGTCAAAGCTGAGCTCGAGCATCGCGCGCAAGGAGCACGAGTCCGCTCGGCCAAAAAGTGGCGCACCGAGGGCGAACACCCCACCTCCTTCTACTTCTCGCTCGAAAAGCAGTCCCAAAAGGCGACGCACATCCCAATGCTCCTCGTCGACGGCAAAGAAGTCACCGATGCGGCCGGCATCACGGACGCCCAGCGAGATTTCTACGCCAAGCTCTATGCGCACGTACCCATTGACCCAGCAGCTGCCCGGCACATCCTCAGCCATGCAAAGCCCAACGAGATGCTCGACGACGAGGACCACGAGTTGATGAGCAGACCGCTGGAGGCATGGGGAGATCGTCCACGCCATCAACAAAACTGCATCTGGCAAGTCCCCAGGGCCCGGACGGGCTGGGGCACTGCGTTCTACAAAAAGTTCAAGCACGAGCTGGGCCCCATCCTCGCCGCCATCGCCACCGGTTCGCTCGAAACGGTCGCCTTCCGGAATACATGC